ATATGGGAGACGATTCCACAAGAAATTAAAGATTGTAACACTTTGCATCTTTTTAAAAATAAACTGAAAAATTTTTTAATTCCGAAAAGTTCTGTTTTTCAAGGATAATAATGTATATGTATATATATGTATATAAGTGTGTACATATTTCATTAACATTGATACATTTTCTCCTATTGACAATTTTATTTTATCATTGAGAAGCAATTTTGAGCTGCACGGTGGCCGAGCCCACAAGAATTAATTTTCTTTTTTTGGTCTCCGAATCATTCATGCTTTTGTTTTGTTTGATTGAATAAAAGTGATTTGATTTGATTTGATTTGATTGTCAACTTTCTTGTGACATTTGTCATCATCGTCGTTGTCGTCATCATCAACGTCGTCATCATCAACAACATCATCATCGTCGTCGTCTCCATCATTTTCCCCATCACCACTGTTGCTGCTTTAATTTTTTCATGCCTTGGTGAAAAAAAATCTTTCTTCGTTATTTTTTTTGGCTCATGAATCCTGTCGATCATATTTTTTATGGCGCTTCAATAAAACAACAACCACAACAACCACAACTACCACATTAAAAATAGTAATAACAACAACAATAATAATAATAAATAATAATAATAATAACAAAAGTAATAATAAAAACTTTGAATTTGTTCTTCAACGAGCAGGGTAGATGCCAGCGCACGAACCCGCCCTGCAAGTACTTGCACCCACCACAACATCTAAAAGAACAGCTACTTCAGAACGGAAGGAACAACCTTATACGTAGAAACCTTCAACTCAATGCAGCCGCAGCCTGCTTCCTACCAGCCATGTATCCCATGGTTAGTCTGTCTGTCTGTCTGTCTGTCTGTCTGTCTGTCTGTCTGTCTGTCTGGGGTTTTGTCTGTCTGGCTGTCTGGTTTTCTAGTGTTTATTCATTTGTCTGTGTTTGGTTGCTTAGTTTTTGTCCGTTTGTCTGTTTACTTGTCTGGTATTTATTCGTTTGTGGTTGTTAGTTTTTTTTGTCCGTCTGTCTGTTTGTTCGTATAAGTGTAGTTGTTTGATGTTGTTTTACGGATCTTTATTTATCAAATGTGATCACGTCTGAGTTTAATTTTATATATTATTATGTTTGTTCGAATTAATAATTTTGTTGTTGTTGGTATTGTTGTTTTTTAATCATAAATCTGTGCGTTTGTTATTTTTGTTTATGAGTTTAGTTATTTCCTGCACATGTGGGAGTTTGTCATATTTTTTATGCGCGTCCGCGCTCTCCTATGAACATGTTGACGAGTGTTTGATTGTTATTCTTTATTATCCCATGTTTATCCCATGTCAATTCACCTGACCATGCTGTATTTTAGGCGTATGAATGCGTGTGTGTGCGCGCATGTTTGTGTGTGTGTGCGTGCTTGTGTGTGCGTACATGTGTGTGTTCTTGTGTATACGTGTGATGTTTTTTTCTATTATAGAGATATTGGCATGGTGGTACGTACATAAATATAAATGCAATATACAAATTTACGTGATGAATGAAATTACGATCTAGAAAATCTCGTGATATTATATAAGCCCATATCTTTTTTTGGTCTTTTTTCTTTTATTCTTTCTCCATTCGTTCTTTATTTTTTCCCTCTCTCTTTCTTTTTCTTTTTCTTTTTCTCTTTCTCTTTTTTCTTTCTTTCTTTCTTTCTTTCTTTCTTTCTTTCTTTTTCAAGTTTATCTCTCCTTCTGAGATTTTATTTGATGTTCAAATGGTCTGCATGGAATTAGCAGCCGACGTCTGGCTGAGGTTTGACCTTGAAATCGACCTTGAAATTAAAGGTCACCATCGGAGGTCAAGTTCATTTACATCTACTAATGTGATGCTTCTTGAAAATTTAATTCCACTTGATATATGAGAAATGTGGAGAGAGAGAGAGAGAGAGAGAGAGAGAGAGAGTTAAATGAGGGAAATAACTTTAAAATATGTGATGAAAAAAAGACGGAACACAATAAATAAATAGAGAACGGAAGTGTTGTTAATTTGAAAGTTAAAAATTTTCAGACTCTCTTTCGAATTTAATGATACGTAGATGTATTCGTTCGTGTAGGAGCGTGTGCGCGCGCGTTGATGCGTTTTAATGTGTGCGTAAGTGTGTTGCGTTCAAATGTGATACATCAGGAGAAGCGTAGAAAAAATACTGAAATATACAGGCAGAAAAAGGCATACATATTCACACCTAAGCATGATTTACACCAACACAGACATGTGCGCGCATAAAAACGATCACGCCTATACCACGTAACATACATATATTAAAATTTTTTACACATTCACACATTCACGCACGCACACACATTCTCCTTCTCTCTTTTTCATACATACACACACACAAACACACACACGCGCGCAATCAGTTCACATACGTTTGATAACTTTCAATTGCCTGGTACAATTTTCATACTTTAAGCCATTTCTTATACGTACATAGGTCCTCTATATTTATGTGTGTAACTATTTCAACAAATCATTAAATTCTGATCCCCTTAATAACTCACACACACCGAAGCACACGTAAAGTTGTACAAACATTTACGTAAGTAAATACACATACATAAGTGGGTGGGTACTGTACATACACATTTTACACCTTTACCATATAGATTAATACCAATTTTAACGTTGGTGAGCTAGGCCATACGTATTTTTTTTTACCAAAAGTGGTTTAGCTGTTTTTCAGAAATTGAAATCAATTTACTTCAACAGGTTTTATGCATTTTTAAATGAAAAAAAAACATATAAAATACAAGTGTACTCGAAATAAACACACACAAAAATACAAACAAAACACACATAAACATACAAATGCACAGAGCTTGAACGTACATAAACTGACGAGACATACAAAATATATCTGATCTAACCAAAACATACCAAAACCAAAAAAAAACAATAAAAACAACTTAACAAATTATAAACAAACAAACAAACAAATCATACACAAGCATAAACAATCAAATAAACAAAACATGAACGAATAAACAAAACATAAACAAACAAACAAACAGAACAAACAAACAAACAGAGCAAACCCTTGCACGTTTGAATGTATTTAGGCTAGCAAGAGCTAGCGTAAACAAAATTTCCGCCTGCTTTCTGGCACATGCACATATCAACAGAGCATAAATAACAATGAAACCGTGCCACAGTCGATCTCTATGTTTGTATTTCTTTGTATGTTTGCGTGCTTGTAATTTCATGTTTGTTTGTATGTTTATGTTTGTTTGTATGTTTTAGTTTGTTGGTATGTTTTTTGAATTTGTATACTTTGCATATTTCCAGGAAAGTGTGTGTATATTTTTGTTTTTTGAGTGTGTGCGGGTATCGTTGAAATAGTACACACACACATACACACGTACGCGCACACACGTACACACACGCACACACATCTTGTTAACTTGAGTTTGCTGAATGCCAAGCTGAATGGCGATGAAAGAATTAATAGAAAAAAATTCCTTCATTATTATTTATTCTATCGGCTGATTGTTCTTCTTATTATTCCTCTTATTTTTAATATTATCATTGTGAAGATATCCAATCGAAATTTAAGTTTATCAAAACATGTGAATGGTACATACCATATACATACTCAAACACACACATACACGCACATACACACGCACACATACACGCGCACAAAAGCAGACATACAAACACACACATATACAATCGTATACAGTTATTTATTGGTTCACCTCATGTAAGAAGACAAGTGGAACCAGGAACGATCGTTAGAAAAAGTTTTTAATTGTATAAAAACGTACACACACACACATACACTCATACACACACACACATATATATTCATTCATTCATTCATTTATTTTTTTTCATTCGCTCATTCATTCATACATACTTAATAACATACATACATACATACATACATTCAAACATACTTACATACGTACGTACGTACAAACAAACAAACAAACATATTTTGTGAACGTTGTTTGTGGAAACATGTTGTTACTTACCTGTATGTGTTTTTTTTTGTATCACCTCTTCTACATGCATTGTTTTGGTTTTTTTTCCATTTTTGTTTGTTTTTTTTTGTCTTTTTAATGAGGCATCCTATATAAATCTGAGTTTTCTGAATCGTTCGTCAATTGTTTCATTGTTTCATTCATCAATTTATTTATAATTCGTTCGTTTATTCAATCATTCATCTACCTATTCATTTATTATTTATTAATTAATTAATTAATTAATTAATTAATTAATTCATTCATTCATTCATTCATTCATTCATTCATTCATTCATTCATTCATTCATTCATTCACTCTTCTAATCATCCAGGCATACATAATTTTGTCATGCATATTCCCAAAGTAACAGTTGACTTGCGTTTTAATTGCATTACTTCACCAATGTAGGTGTTACATTATGATCATCATCGTCATCATCATCATCATCGTCATCATCGTCGTCATCATCATTGTCATCATCATCATCATCAATACCATCAACATTATCATCATTAATATCGTTTTCAACAGCGTATGTAACTTACTTACAATGAAAACATCATCATCATCATCAGCACCAACTTCGTCATCACAATCATCATCACACGCTTTCATTCTTTTAATTTATCCATCCATCCTTCCTCCCTTCAACTATCACAAATTGAATTTGCAGCGTCAAATTTGACGAGTTTCATTGCTGTAAAATTCCTTTCGGATCATTTGCTCAATTACTCCTTTTTTCATTCATTCATTCGTTCATTTGTTCATTCATTCATTCGTTCCTTCGTTCATTCATTCATTCATTGTTTTATTCATTCATTCTTATTTTTCAAAACTCAATCATTTTTTACTATAACTCTCTCCATTATTATCACAATTCCAACTTTTTTTTATGTCTTTCTTCATTTACTTCTGATATTTGGTTTGGTGATGTGGCCACACCTCACCACAACACACCACAACACACCACACCTCACCACACCCATTCCTCAAAGACCCCCTGCCATCCCTTCCAATACAACTCCTGGGTGCATTTCGTGACGCCATCCTCCATAAGTCACGTGCTTAAATTGACAAGACGCACGTCATAAAATTTACTGTTGACTTTTATATGCCATTGTCTCGACAGGCAAAATGTCCGTTCGTTGTCAGCGCAAATTAACAAATTGGTCGGCTTTTCGTTTCATTGCTCGTTTGTTTGTTTATTTGTTTGCTCGTTTGTTTGTTTGTTTTTATTGTTGTATGTTTTGTATTTTGTTTGTGTTTGTTTTCTGTAACATTTCATGTTTGCATAACTGTTCAGCCTGAATTTATGTATGGTTGGACGTTTTCATGTTAGCGCTGATTGCACGTTATGTTTTTTTTATTATGTTCGGTTGTATTTTATTCAAAATTGCGTTGTATGCATGTGTTTCATGTGTGTTTTAACTGTTTTGTATGTTTTTGTTTGTTTTTTTGTATGTGTGTTTGTATGTGTGTTTGTATGCAGTTGTTGTTTTTCAACTTTTCTTTCTGTTTCTATGTGATTTAATTTTAAGATGAAGAATATCTTAACGTTTTTGTATATATTTTATTGCCCACTGTTTATAATATATCATAAAATTTCACAACATCATTTTATTATTTTTTTGATGTTGCGATCATTTCGTTTCGTTTCGTCTTGTTTCGTTTCGTTTCGTTTCGTATAAGCAACAATCACTACAGAATCGCCCATAACGCGACGACCTTCACAATGTCATTTA